TCGAACCAAACTGTATATAAAAGTATAAACTGAAAACCAAACTTAGCTAAGCGGGTGAGCGACACAGTTACAAAACGTAGGGATATGATCGAAGGATATTTCATACCATTCTTGCAAGTGTAAATTAAGGAGACACACGAGCTTGCATTACAAGGTCATGTGGTGTGCGGTCCATCATGAGTCACGACCCTGCAAAAATTCTTAAAAGGACGACTGGAATATTCATATTCATGGGTTATGTGTCATGCAACATACTACATCATGCATCCACCATGCCATGGCCATGTCAAGTGACAACGATGCCCACGGTTTTTGTCTGCCTCTGAGAAAGAGACGAACTTTCGCGAAAGCTAGGTGGGCTAAAGGGGATACTAGGAGAAAAAGGAAAGAGATGGCCCCTGTTATTATAACTTTAAAAATTGGTCCCTGTTTGTAATCGTTTGATCAAATTTCTATAGTCCGGATCTCCATACTTGATGGATTAGGAAGAAGGAATTCAGAGAGCATCAAAATTAATTTTGCCAACATTATTGTGATTGCTACCAATTTTAAATTTTCTTTCATGAATTAACATATTATCTATTATTCATTATGACCTAGTCCATTTTTAAGAATCATCTCAATTTTAATTCTGTCACTAATTATTACGGTCTAATGGTATTCATCTTCACTTGAAAGTGAGAGGTTTTAGGTTCGAATCTCGTGAATGGCGAATTCGATACCAAATTAGGCTGTCCATTGTGGTTTAGCCGAACTCCATCTCATCTTAGTGTAAAAATATTGATGTACTAAAAAACCTTAGTGTAAAAATATTGATGTACCAAAAAATCTCAATTTTAGTTCTTAATTTTTTTTTTAAATTGATATTTGTTTGGTAATTATTTTAATTTTTATTTAAAAAAATGAAAAACTTAAACCAGAATTTAAAAACACCAAACGGTAAATCTAAAGGTAATTACCAAATGATTTTTTAGTTTTCAGAAAATAAAAAAGTGAAAATAAAAACTACAACAAGAAATGCCAAGACGAGCCTTATGTATGGGTTAACGGACTAGAGCAACAAAGTTTTTTATATATGTGAGGTATTATACAAGTTTTAAAAGTTTTACAAGTTTGAGACTAATTTGATAACGATTCAAGATTTTGAATAATTTTATGTAATTTATTATTTTACATCAAAGAGTAATGCTGAGTAGAAAGCCAAATATATAATTGAAGGAAATACAGTATGAGAATTAATTGTATGAATAATCTACCTAGGCAACAACCTCACAAGTAGTCAACTTCAAGGAGAAAATATTTTCTTGTATGTATGCATACTAGTATTTAAAAAATAAAAATAAAGTTAAAGAAATGGAAGTGTAGTGCCTTTTTTTTCCCCTTTTTTTTTTACTTCCATTTTTGTATTATTCAAAATATACCGAGTATATAATTTAATTATATTATTTTGGGGGTGTTGAGATTCCAGTTTCCAAATGCATGTGATCAAAGGGTTCCCTTTTGATAATTGGAATCTTCTTTCTTTGACGCGATCAAGCGTGAGCTCAAACCCATGTGTGAGAGTGAGTATTTTGTAGGCCGTGTTAAAATTCAAAAGTAATGTTAGGAAGACTAAATTTGCAAATTAAATGATGTATCACCAACATGATATGAGTACGTTTATCAATGTTTAAGTAATAATTCAATCATTCACTTCCATGTCATTTAATTTACAAAATTTAGTCTGCAAATTTAGTTTCTATAGCATTATTCATACTCAAAAGGTTAAAGGTTGATGAAATAAAAGATGACCAATTGCAATGGAGAAGTCTCTTTCACTATCATGGTGTGTTTGGAGAAAGATTTAGGCTTTGTTTAAAAGTGTTTTTAAATGATGAAGCTTTTGGTGAAAATGTTTGGAATCAATTATTAGTAAAAGGTTTTTTTAGCCAAAATGATCCCTGATATTTGCATAATTTCTCATAGAAGTGGTTCCCAAGTTTGTTCACCATCAATTATTTTGATCTTTTTGTGAAAATTTTTGTTAAATAAGGACCAAGCTGACAAAAATATCCTAAATTTAATAAGCAATGTGCCAAAATGATTTGGCAAAAGTTGAGGGTGTTTTTGTCATTTTATCCTTATTTAATAGAGATTTTTCACATAATGACCAAAATGATTGATAGTGGACAAACTTAGAGATAACTTCTATTAATTTCAAATCTCAGAGACCAAAGTGAGAAATTATGTCAATCTCAATGACCATTTTTGATAAAATGCAAGTGGATCTTGGAAAAACACTTGAAGTGCTTTATGCAAAAAACACAAGTTGCAGAAAGCACTTCCAGTGCTTTTAGAACCTAAAAACTTTTTCTTCAAAAACGCTTTCAATCATTTTAAAAGTACTTTTAAACAAACTCATATATAGCATATGCCAAGGCCAAAGGCATGCAGCTATTCAAGTGCTCCATGCAGCTATGCAAGCACTCTTTCTTCTTATTTCTACAAATGTTAGAACATATAGATAAATTACACTGGGTAAATTTATTACATCTTTTTAGAGACGTGGCAAGTGAATATCTGAATGCCAAGTATGGCTCATAACAGTCTATCATCCGGCGGATAGAACGATACTTTTGCCGTATGAAGAGTTAATTTGCCAAGCCAAAATTTTCACTTTTTGGGAAATCCCGCCGATTAATATGTTTTTTGGTAAAATTTGAAAATGTACTCATCAGATAGGATTCAATTTTATAAAGCGAAACAACCTTTTGGTTAAGTTTTTCAGTTGGTTATTGGGTTTTTAACTGAGAAATGGATTGTCTACCCTCCTATTTTCATATTCTCTTCATGCCTTCATGTGATGTATGATTACGGTTAAGTAATGTCAACATTTTATATTAATTTTTTTTTATAAAAATAATAAAATAAAAAGTAATAAGAATATAAAATATTTACGTGGCTTAATTGTGACCACATAAACAAAAAGCTATGAAAAAAGTATGGAAATTGGAACGCAGACAATCCATCTCCTTTTAACTGATGTTTTAAAAGGAGTCTTATGTCTTGTAATTTGGGTGAATTCGATTGGACATTATAAAAGTTTAAGTTTTGGTTAGAATTGCGATGCAAATAATTTATTGTTTTTTAATTGCTGAGAACACCTAAAAGCAGGTTGAATTTTCATTGGTTGGATCAATTACCAATCAAATGTTTGAGCAAATTGGGAAAGGCATTGTAGATAAAGGAAAGGGATCCGGGGATGATTATTTTCTCAAGGATCTTAGGAATCTCGTGATCGTGATCGTTAATCTTATATCACGCAGTCAGTTTTCGTTAAGAACTATTTATATTTAATTTTAAATTTTAAATTTTAAAATAATTTTTGACCGTCCAATGTACGATGAACGATTATGATCACGGAATCCTTAGGATTCATAGGAAAATAATCCGGCGAGGATCCTTTTCCGTGGATAAATATTCAGTTTATCAATGGAATCATGCATACGTTGCTCATGATGATGAAGGGTTGAGGGCAAAGAAACTCCCAAAAGTTAGCCACATGCATGCAAAAAAGAAAAGCAAAATGACCTTCATCATTTCGTCACCATCAAAACTTTATCAACAATACTTGACTATTCAAGGATGAGCAGCTACTCAAAGTTCTTCGTATTTGAATCACAGAGTTTTGTGCTTATGATCATAACTGTTCATATTATGAATCATTTTGTAAATATCATCTCTGCAAAAAAGAAATGAATTAAAACTAAAGTTGTTTAGTCAATCTATTGTAGCAAATACAATTGACGGTTCATATTGCTTTTACCAATTCTGTTAATCTGTTTTTATACAGTTCGATGATTAAATGACCTTAGTTTTAATTTATTTATTGTTTAACCTTGTGAACGTTGACCGAGCTGAGAAGAAGCACTAGCAGTTCTTGTCAAATAACCGATTTATGAACCGTTCTAATCATAACACGAAGTTCTATGAATCAACAATGAACAATTTTGAGTGGGAACTCTTACTCATCTTTGAGTAGTCAAGTATTATTCAAACTTTATTAACCACGTTTATAATTACATAAATAGTGCTCAAATTTTGACATCTTTTATTTTTTTACGCAATCCTTCGAAAATCCTCATCTCTGTAAAGAATTAACTAATTCTAAGATCGTTTAGTCATCCAACAATTATCTAATAAACAAACAAATTGTGTTCCTCACTTAAACCCTAAATTTTAACAAGGTTAATCGAACACTTAAAAAAATTTCTAATTGAGTTATATTTTACAACATTGATCTTTTTTAAAATGACTTGAAAAATAAAGAGTTTTTATCGTCAAACAACATTACAGGAAAATAAAAAAGGCAAGAAAACTTGAATACGAAGGTAAGCTGGATCATCACATCATTTTAAAGACAGAACGTAGGCTTAAAGAATATACTAGCTCTTTGTACATAATTTAGGGTATATGGATATGTGCATAATAACTTGTTCTAGGGTCTGTGAATGAAATGTGAACCACCTCATCGGAACGCCGGAGGGGCACGGCAGACCGTCTCTGGATAGAGCATGGACCAAAGAAACTAGCAACCACATCTCCTGCCTGATTCGCTTCTTGACACAGCGGAAGTTATAGGTTAGGGATCATGAACGGTCACCATTAGATAGAATTCTAGAATGCCGGCAATTGTGAGAGAAACTTGTTTTTTGAATTCTTACTGAATGAAAGATGATAAATTACAACCCTAAATGTTGTTTAAATAGTCTTAACAAACCCGAACTCCAAAAGGAAATAAATTAAACAAATAACAAAATATAAAAAAGATTCTAAAATATTAAAACCCGAATTAAACACGTTAAACGACATAATTAGCCCAAACTTCGACTGGGCTCGTTGAAAATCAACGAGTCTTGTAGGCCTCGTCGTTTTCTTGAATCCATATGTTACAGGCCCAAAACCGACACGCCAACCTGAAAATTCCAAAGCATTCATTTTCGGGGTATGGGCAAATAATATTTTAACAACTGAATTATTATTTCTCCAATCACTTTTCTTAATTAAATGTCACTTCCTTCTTTCAACTCTTCCGCATCTAAAATAACACCAACTCGGTTCTCCGTCACTTCTCTCGGGACCCAGTTCCATAAAATGGAATGGAGACTCGATGAGGAGAGGCGCCAATTGGGTCCTTTGGGAGGATCACGGATTAAATGATGAGAACTTGGGAGTCAGACTCGCAAATAATATCAAAAGACTGATTTTCAATAGCAAGGGAGACAGCCATAACCGCTGCTCGAGCTTCAGCTCTAAGCGGGGAGGAGACACGACAACATGAAGTTCTGCCTGCGATCACAATTTCATGGGTGTCTCTGGCAATTGCACCAATGCCAGCCTTGCTAGACGTCGACATTCAGCTACAATCAAAGTTAATTTTCACTATACCAGATGGCAGGGCGACCCACGAACTTTTATCTCGAACATGGCCACTCCGGGCTGCCGTGGAGAATGAAGAGAGACTCTCTCGGAATTGAAGTTGAACAGGGAGAGAAGGGGACTCGTGGTTCCGATCAGAGCACACTCTCTCGGCCAACATCGGATTCTCACCAGAGACATCGACTGACTTAGAACCTCAACTTGATTTGTACGGCGAGGGATACTCAGGTCTGGCATGAGATAACTTTGGTGGAGGCAACTAGGAATTTCCTAGCATACCTCTACACCGCTCTAACCACTTCGATAGGGGAAACATAAGTAGTAGAAGAGTTCAAAAGAAGAAAGCGGTTCACTGTACAAAACAAGGATACATACTCCTGTATTTGCGGATTCTATACAATCAGCGCAAATCCTTCCTTTCTGTCACTAACAACTAGACGTAAACATTCAGCATATAGACACACACAAGGAATGCAAACAAGCGAATTCTTATTACTTACTTGGCTGAGAAGTATTTTCATCACTACCGTCAAGAATGAGTTTGACTCCATTGTCCTTAAGAGCATTGACAATAGCCCAAATCTTGGTGCGGTTCTTAAAACCCTTTTTCTCAACTTCGTTATTTACATTGACATGAATCCCTTGTCCCTGTCCCTCGTCAAGACCTTCCACCTTGAGTCGCCTAGCCAACACATCTCCAACAACTGCCGCTGCCTTTGCGTTGCAAGACCTTCCACATTCGAGTGAGCCCTTGATTGAATGTTCAACTGTAGATGCTGACACAACAATCCGACCATTATTTCTGTCCACTACGTTTGCTGTAATGTACTTCAGTGATATGAACAGCCGTAGCACATATCGCTTCACAACCGTCATTCTGGGGCAGTCCTGCTGTTTTTCGTTTAATAAAAGCAATTTCAACATTAGCAAAAGAATATTAGATATGGAACCATATATACACGGAGAAGAATTGGAAGACTAACAGTTATGTACCAAAGAAAAATACTAAACTCTTTGGTCGTTAATTCTCTTCAAGGGGAGTAGAGAGATACTCTCAATTATCACCCACAGCCACTGGTTAAGTTCTAACCCAGTTCATTTAAGCAGCTAACAACATGTTGACAACGCACTTGAATCAAACTCGTTGCACCTTCAACCCACTATTTATCAAACATGTAGAACCAGAGACTAATTGCTTCTACGCTTTTAAATAATATCAAACAAATTCCTTCAAATACATACTGCTAACATCGTGTAGGCCTGTCTTCCAGGTTCCGAAAATTATCAGTTCAAATGCATCTTAATAGAAAGTCGGTAGCATTTTGAGTCACACTTGGGCACACAAATTTAATTTGACTCACTCCCACCTAGAAAACCATCTGAGAAACAGAAACCTTGAGAGGATTGTGCATACTCTAGTTGCTCCCCCGCCTCAACAGCATCACACAAACACTGCTTTATTAGTCCTTAGTGGTTGTAAGACTAGTTTTTTCAGCAGGCTGATGATTGTAGAAAGGGAAATCCAACACTATCAGTTACTTTAGAGTTCCCCTTCTCCACAAAGTGAAGGAGAAAAAGAATCGAACACTGTCATCAAAACATAAACATATTTGATTCGACTCAACTCACAACACAATGATAGAAATATCTGATTAGTTTGGCCGTAGCTTGAACCCGAAGTAACACATGATTTTAAATTGAGCTTCTTTAACACTAGTACTAACGGTAAGAAACACCAAACCAAGACTAACGCGTGATTTAAGTTATAGCATTATTAAGTTGTTACAGAAAGAAGAAAGCTACAAAATTGCAGGAAACACATAAACCAGATGCAAGAACAACAACCCATCTTATGCTCTATTAGGCCGTCATTTGGTGTTTGGGACTGGAGTGGATTGGATAACTCGGTAAATTCAATTGAACGTTGAAGAAGGGAGAAGTAGGTTGCCATCCACTAATTCATTGAACATCGATTGAATTTACGGAGTTATCCAATCCCTTCCAATCCTAAACACCAAATGAGGGCTTAATAGGCAAGCTTCAATCAAGGACAACTAAAATTAAAAGTAACCCTTTCGTATGAAGAACCCATTGTTTGCCTAATCCTGTATTATTACTTGTTTATGAAGTGGAGGCAATAAAAACAAATTCACAACATGAAATAATTAATCATACAAATCCATTCTTGAAACATGATTAAACTTTTCTATTCATTCTAAAGGAACAAATATGAACAGACAATAGAGAGAGAGCGAGAGAGAGAGAGAGAGAAAGAGAGACAGAGAGAGCAGTTCATGTACCTGTCGGGAACAAAGATGAAAGCTTGGCCGTGTGGAAGCGTAGGAGTGAGTGTCACCGTGATAGCCGAACCAGGAAAGGAGGAGGAGGAAAGCCAACGGGTGGGCTGGTGTGGGTAGCGGGCTCTTGCAGGGCTCTGGTGGTTACTGGGCTACCGCGTTCAATTTTGACAAGTAATGGACACCCAAATATTGTCTTTGGAGCCCAAACTCTCCTTGGTCTAAAATTCAAAAAAAGTTGCAAACGGCGATATTTTAAATAGAAAACTTCATTCTAAGCCTTGACGAAGATGACTTTTAGACTAAAATCATGAGTAAGATCGAAATATAATTTTAGTCCATTGATACATTAATAACCTCATTTATTAACTACATTTTCATTTTTTAATTATTTTTCTTTTTCTTCCTATTTTAATGTATTAATTTTATTTCATTATAATTATAATCATTTCATTTATCGTAATATGTTTTGTTGTAAACATTTAGATAAAATAATTTTTGTTATACAATATATTTCAATGTACTTTGTCTTCTTCATTTAGGTACATTACATTCATTATAATACATTTTGGTGCATACATTTAGGTACACACATTTTGGTACATACATTTCGATACAAACATTAAGGTACATTAATTCAATATAATACATTTCAGTGCATACATTTAAGTACACACATTTAGGTGCATTAATTTAATATAATACATTTCGGTGCATATATTTCAGTACGTACATTTTGGTACTAACATTTAAATACATTATTTTAATAGAATACATTTCGGTACATACACATTCTTTCAAGTTTGAAGAATGTTAAATAAAATTAATAAATTTAAAAAAACTTTTTTTTTTTGTCAAAAAATAAATTTAAATTTGTATATTAATAAATTTAAATATTTAATGGGAGATATTAAATCAAATGCACATTAATTATTTTGAATTAAGGACACATCAAGAGACTATAATCAATATGTAATTTAGCATCAGGTTTATTTTAAAATTCAATCTTCTTGAAGGATTAAAGTTAAAAGACCCCTATTTTAAACTATCTAATCCACGAAGAGGATATGATTCAAAAAAATCTTAGCATTAAACAAAAGTGAAAAGAGCAGACACACAATCACCTTAATCAACTAACTTAACCTACACATGCTTTTAGATATAACCTTTAAACACCTTTTTAAGATTCTATCTAAAATATTCATCATTGTTTCGCCTAAAAAATTTAAACCGGTTGCACTTTTTTAGTCACTAAACACTCTCCCCCTTCTCTCCTGTTGCAGCACGGCGGTCGGAATGAAGTGACTAATGACATCATCAAACCACATATTGAAGATGACTATGGCCCATGGGCATGTTTGAGAATATTTTTAAAACCACTTAGAGTGTTTTGAACAACAAAAATTACCTATAACTATATTAGGCATAAAAAGCAAAATTATTTATGAGTCATATAAGTATTTTTTGTAAAATCACATGCAATTCAGAAGCACTTTCAAATGCTTTTTTATTAAAAAGAAAAAAAGAAAAAAGAAAAAGAAACTCTCTTCAAAATTTGAACGTCAAGCACTTATAATAAATAAACTTGTGAGCACACGTATTTCTTACAAAAACAATATCAAATAAACTCTAAATGTTAGGATACCATATTTCACATTGGAGATAATTAACATTATTAAAATCATGCATTGTTCTCTACCACGCATCATTTTTTATAAATAAACAGTTGAGATTTAACTAAGTAACGTTTTTATTTGTGTTTCTTTTGATGCTTTGGAGAGCAGATGGTTTCCTTCCTAGCCAGTTTTGTTGGGTTTTGGTACCTCAATTAGATTAAAGCGAAATCACTGAACCTGATGTGTCCAATAGGCCCATCCCCATCAACCCAAGCCCACTTTGGTCTCCACCCTAAACGACACCGTCCAGCCTGCTACAAAAAATCAGAACACCAAAAGAGAAGTCCCACATTCCCGCCTACCCAACTCACATGATGATGGGGGTGACTTATAATTACGATTTGGTAATATTTCTTTTTATTTGGAAGTATAAAGTTATAGGATAGAATCTTATATATATCGGATTCGATATTAAATTAGATTGTTCATTATATGATTTTGTTCAATTCATTTTTCTTTTAATATAAAAATATCGATATGTTAAAAAAAAAAAATATTAATAAAAAACAAAAAAAACCTATAGTGTGGAAGGCCTATAAGCGACGAACGACACGTGGAAAGCCACCCAACCCTAACCTTCCCCTTCCCTTATAAATTCTCAAACCCTCCACCTTCCGTTCCAGAAAACCTCCCCAACCCGACCGAACGGGTTTTCTCTTCTCTTAACTAACATACCGCAAAATATCTGTACACCCCCACCTGAGACGCAATCCCAGATCTGACCTCCCCACCGCCCTCCCTTTCTTCCCCGATCGTCTTCTCTTCTCCAAGGTCCCTCTCAATTCTCAGTCCCTAATTCCCTATTTCATATAATATATATACGTGTATATATAGATACACACATGTCTCTGTGTTTGGTTGATTGCAAGTTTTGATTTTGATGATGATTATGCGATGTGCAGGTTGATCTTTGAAAACGATGGTGTCGGACGCGAGCAAGAAGAAGGCGGCGCAGAAGAAGGCGGCGGCGGCGGCCAAGAGAGGTGGGAAGGCGGTGGCGGCAGCTGGTTCGTCCAAGTCGGCTGCGGCCGAGAACGGAGCCGATAAGCTTGCCAATGGAGTCGGGGCGATGCATATTTCGGATCGGAACTGCACCGGCGTGCTCTGCTCGCATCCACTTTCTAGAGATATTCGCGTATGTGTTTCAATACGATGTCGTCTTCATCTCTTCCATCTTATTAGCATATATATGGTCTTTGACATAGTATATTTAATATCATATTTAACAAAATATAACAGGGCATCTTCAGGAATTTTTCCTTCCTTTTCAGAAATTTAGATCATTTATGTGAATTGTTTTTACTCAGGTGATAGATGTTCGATGTTCCATTTAAGTTTATATATTTATATACTTAATTTTTTTAATACAGAAAGGTAATGTAAGATGCGATTGTCGTTGAATGTGGTAGGAGAAAATGCAATAGTTCCATGGGAGAAATTGTTTAGTTTTTGTAAGCTGCGAATAGGGTTGAATGTTGTAGGAGAAGTGTGATAGAGCAAGAAGAATTAGATTTAGTGTTTTTCTTTTATTTGCGTTGTAATTTTATTTATTAAAGTTTAATTCTTTAAGGTTTTGTAAAGAATACTTGATTTCCTAATTTTTTAAGAGTTTTAATCAATTTTCGTTGTTATATGGTTGGTTTTAGAATGGTGTCATGTTTTGAAAACTTTTTAGTTATTTTAATTAATGAATCTCATTTGCGCTCTATTTTTTAAACATCAGTTTCAGTTGATTTCCTAACTGGAATGGTTGGTGATAGCATGAAATGACATTTCTGTGACCATTGCAGATTGAGTCTCTGTCAGTTACCTTCCATGGACATGATCTGATAGTCGATTCTGAACTGGAGCTTAATTATGGAAGGTTAGTTATACATGTTTAATTCAAGTATATGTGTGTGTGTGTGTGTGTATTTTATGAATGGAGTATTTGTTATTCATATAGATGTGCTAAATTTGTGTATTCATGCTCCCTTTCAGACGCTATGGTTTGCTTGGGTTGAATGGGTGTGGTAAATCCACCCTCCTAACTGCAATAGGGCTCCGAGAGCTTCCAATTCCGGATCACATGGATATCTATCATCTCAGTAGGGAGATTGAAGCTTCAGACATGTCTTCACTTGAGGCTGTCATTAGCTGCGATGAGGAGAGGATAAGGTTGGAGAAAGAAGTTGAAGAACTGGCAGCTCAGGTGAGCTGTAGTAATATGAGAGTTAGATTTTGGAGTAATTTGGTATTAATTATTAAAAAATTGGGAAGTACAAAATGTAGAGTTTGGTTAGTTGTTAAGTGATGTGAATAATATAGGACCTAATAGTGGAATTTCAATGGTTGCTTTGTTTTAGGCAGCTTTCTACCTCACAGTTCTTATGACTTATTTTACTTATTTTCAGGATGATGGCGGTGGAGAGCAGCTTGAACGCATTTATGAGCGCCTTGAAGCATTGGATGCAGCAACTGCTGAGAAGCGTGCTGCTGAAATTCTTTATGGTCTTGGGTTTGACAAGAAGATGCAAGCAAAGAAAACTCGGGATTTTTCTGGTGGGTGGAGAATGAGGATTGCACTTGCACGTGCTCTCTTTATAAACCCAACCATCCTGTTGCTGGATGAGCCCACCAATCATCTTGGTAAGTTTAACTGGTTAGAAATTTTAGTTTTTGTGTTAGATTTTTCTTCATAATATGTTTGTCTTTCTAGTTTTATTCTACTGAATAAATTGATTTGCATGAATGAAAATGAGAAAAGCTTTGGGCTTCTACACAATAAGAGAAATAGAGTCTTTATTTATGGGTTATATTTCTTTTCTTTTTAAATTGTTTTAACTTTGCATGCCATCGTGTAAAGAATCTTTATAGTGTTGTGTGAGAAAGTGGGATGGAGAAGGAAAGGAGAGACCTAAAAGAGAAAGTACTTGGCCATGGTCGTGCTGGCTTTAGTTTTCTGATTTGAGATTTGAGTTGTTTTCTATGTTCTAGATCGTCTGTTGTATTGCCTGTGAAATCACATTACCTACCACTTTATTGGCCTAACCTTTTAGGTTCTATTTTTTGCTCATTATATGAGCAGGATAGTTCTCATTACAACTAGAGTTTTGTTGTAGCACCATGTTTGGCGGTGTAGTGGGTTTCATGTTTTTTATCTTGTAATAAAATGTATAGCCAATTTCCAAGATTGGTTTTATTGGCCCACTTATCAGTGGTTCAGATTGTACATAGAGGCTGAAAGTCATGTCAGGAATTTGATAATAGAAACATGTCCCTTTTTCCTAACTGTTTTTCTTTAAGTTTAAGGTTAATTGGGGGGATTGAATGGTAATTTTAATGGGTGTTATGTGATTCCTGAGCTGGCAAAGGGAGTTATCTGTGGCCCATCTCCTTTCCATTGTCTTGTTAATACAGATTTGTCTAGGATTTTTGGGACTATTTCATTGTAGTTTTCCGTGTTATCATGAAAAGGTGAAGAGAGATTGGATGCATTTTTCCAAATAGTACAACTTTGCGTAATGAAATTCTGACTCACCACCACCCCCAACTTTTTTCCTCTTGTTTAGGTTTACTTCTGATTGGTATTAGTTTGGAGAACTTAGTTCACTCTGGTGCTACTCAGTGTCTGTGCAGCTGTTTGAGTCCCTTAATATGTTATTATGTTCGTCTTTTGTTTATGTGAAGATACATATTTTATAACTTCAGTTGCTCATGGTTAGTTGTCTTCCCTTGGTAACAGATCTAGAAGCTTGTGTGTGGTTGGAGGAGATGTTGAAGAATTTTGAGCGCATCCTGGTTGTTATTTCACACTCCCAGGATTTTTTGAACGGTGTCTGCACAAACATCATTCACATGCAGAACAAGAAACTGAAGATGTACACTGGAAACTATGATCAGTATGTTCAGACCCGTTCGGAACTGGAGGAGAACCAGATGAAACAGTATAAGTGGGAGCAGGAGCAGATTGCTAACATGAAGGAATATATCGCTCGGTTTGGACATGGGTCAGCAAAACTAGCTCGCCAGGCACAAAGCAAAGAGAAAACCCTAGCAAAAATGGAGCGTGGTGGGCTTACAGAGAAGGTGGCAAGAGACAAGATTTTAATCTTCCGTTTTGTCGATGTGGGAAAGCTGCCGCCACCAGTGCTTCAGTTTGTTGAAGTCTCATTTGGTTACACTCCTGATAATTTGATCTACAAGAACATTGACTTTGGTGTTGATCTGGACTCACGTATAGCTCTGGTTGGGCCGAATGGAGCTGGAAAGAGTACTCTCTTGAAGCTGATGACGGGGGAGTTGTTTCCTTCTGATGGCATGGTCCGGCGGCACAATCACCTTAGAATCGCCCAGTTCCATCAGCACTTGGCTGAGAAGCTTGATGTGGAACTGTCTGCCCTAGCGTACATGATCAAAGAGTACCCGGGAAATGAGGAAGAGAAGATGAGGGCTGCAATTGGTAAGTTTGGATTATCGGGTAAGGCACAGGTAATGCCAATGAAGAACTTATCTGACGGGCAGAGGAGCCGTGTGATCTTTGCTTGGTTGGCGTTTAGGCAGCCCCAGTTACTGTTGTTGGATGAGCCGACCAATCATTTAGATATTGAGACAATCGACTCACTGGCGGAGGCGTTGAATGAGTGGGACGGGGGCCTGGTTCTTGTTAGCCACGATTTCAGGCTCATTAACCAGGTAGCTCAGGAGATATGGGTATGTGAAAATCAAGCCGTGACCCGGTGGGGTGGCGATATTATGGACTTCAAGCAGCACCTGAAGATAAAGGCTGGTTTAGCCGATTGAGACCGATATTGAAGTTCCATCTCGAGCTTGTTGTAGTTGATTTGTTGGCCTTGCTTACACTTGTACGAGACAGTACAGCGAGGAGGGTGTTTACTGTTTCTGAGACGTCTTCTCAGACTCTCTGACTACTATGACGGAAGACGAGATCGGAAATGGGCAAAGGCTTGGTTATTGTTTCAAGCCGGCGGCAGCTTCTATGGCCGTTTGCCCGGTTTGTAGGTGGTATTTTTGTTTACGTTCCCGCATGTTATTAGTATTATGCTTGGTTAGCAGCCGAGTCGTCGATTAAGATTATTATATAGTTTGTTATTTTTAGCTAGACAATATTTCCCCTATTGTATGTTCTCTTCTTCCCTGAAACTGAAAGGATATGTTGGACTGGCTTGGTTACTAGTCAGATCCAAATTTTATTTTGAGTACATTTTCTATGAGTTAAGTATTTGTTTCGAATGTTTTAAAAATTTGAGACCAATTTAGGATGACACTAACAAATTACCATCTTTCTGGCTTTATTTCAAAACTAGCCCCTCGCACACAGGATATCTGAGGGTGTGTATCATTTGAAGGAATTAAACAAGCCTTTATTTTTAATTCGGATACTCTTAAATTCATTCATTTTATTTTATTTTATTTTTGAACAAGCTACAATATGAGTTAATTACACTAGCATTTTTTTAAGTTTATCGAGTTTTCACAAAACTCTCTTCATGTTTAAGGCATTACACTAACATCTCCTCATATTTAATTCTCTTTCATACAACCCCTCAGTCAAAATTTTGTTCGTAAATTTACTAATTTACCCTTATTAACTACTTAAAATTAATAAAGAATTTTTTTTATGATTACATAAAAAAGTTATAAAACATTAAATACTTCAAAAAAAGAAAAAGAAAAAGTAAAAAAAAATGAAGAAGAAGACCATGTAGGCAAATCTCCCCCGTCCCCCGAAATCTCCCCTACCTTCCATTTCCAATCCCCCTCCAAAGTCATCCAATCACCCGACTTTCCCCGCACAAATCCTTCTCTGCTGGTTCCATAATTTCTTCCTCCTAAATCAGTGCGGAATCAAATAGTAGGAATTTGACATTAATTACAAATTATTATTTCATTAAACAGAGATCCTTTTGTGGTTGTTGAAAGTTTGAATGGGTGGTGGTGATGGAGGAAGAATGAGGATATGAAGATGGAGGTGGTTGCTCGATTGGGTGGGAGGGAAAGAAGCAGATGAGCAACTTCTTTTTTAATAAAATATTATTTTCAACGTAAAAAATATTTTTTTTTTCTTAATTTGTTTTGTTCACGTGGTTCTTTTTGTTTTTTAAGTGTTTTTTTTGTCAAACGAAATTTTTTTGTTAGATTAGTTACTGATGAGGTTTTAACCCACATTATCATGCAAAAGCTCTACACTTTTCTACCATTGTAGTAAATGATCATTTACTTTTTCTAAGTATTTAATATTTTATATAATTATAAAGTTTTTTTTTATTAGTTTCAAGTAATTAGTAAATTTGTAAGCCAAATTTTGACTCAAGGTGTTATATAAAAAAGAACTAAAATCTAAAAGGGTGTTTGTGTAATATGAATACTTGATAAATCTCAAGGCGCATTTGTGTAGTTAACCTGTAATAGTATCTACATTAAGGGGGAGAGGATGACTTAGCTTCACAACGGGCTAACAATAATGTTGTTCAAATTCACTTTTGGGAAGAATTGAACCTAAGACCTCTCACTTACAAGTGAAAAGAAATACTATTAGATCGTAGACAAACGATATCATCTACACTAAAGCGTTAGAGAAGTAGGCTAAGCTTCATAATGATTTACCAATAATATGGTTCAAATTCGTTTTTGCAAGAATCCAAAACCGTTTAAGGGGAAACACCATTGTCATAGGATATCCTATGGACTGGCGGTGAGGGTGATTGAGAGGGTTTACAGAGTTTTGGTCGAAGAAGCAGATTGTTGTCAAGAAGAGAGAGCAACAGCACACGCGTGTCAACATGGTTTTCGTCTAGATGACTTACATGTGTCCACATGGGCGTTTACCTCATTTTACTATTGAAAAATTGTGGAAGAAAAACATTAAAACAAGGGCAAATTTTTTTTTTTTTTTTTAACTAACTATATTTTTTATACTAAAGGGGTAGAGAGTAATCTGAAAATCACAATGAACTAACAATAATATAATTTAAATTCTTCTTTGATAAGAATTGAATTTAAAATCATTCACTTACAAATGAAAATCAATGCCACTAGATAGTCGTTTATAGAATTTTCTGGCTTCTTCTTGATAGACTAGAGAAATATTAAAAATGTAAACAATGGCAAAAGACCTCTGGCTCTGCCAGTGGATAAATACATAGATATTGAAAAAGGAATAAAAGGAAAAGCCAAAAACTCAACGTAAAAGATGGCAGAAAGACTAACTTATTATATACCATCATCCAAAATTAAGAAAGCTAATCTTGCTCAAGATCATCAGTAACTCCGCACCATAGATTCACAAGAACCCCAGTTAACATCACTAGATGAGCCTCTCTCTTCCTCTTGCCATTGCCGATCGTCTAATATCTTCTCGAGCTCGCTTGGCTGGCAAGGAATGGTTAGGGCACCTTCATGATCAAAGCCATACTCCTCAGCTGCTTGCTCCAATAGCTTCAAGAAAGTTGGGTGTGTCAAGTAACTCAATGACACCACAAATCTCTTTGGTTCGTCTCCATCCACCGCAATCACGGCAAAGTGACCCTCCATAACATCGTCGGGCACATTCGTCGAGTTAGCATCGGAATAATTTGACGGTTTTGATCTTCCCAAAGATAGGCTTCTTTGTAGCTTTTCTACTACAATTTTGAGCTTCACAATGCTCTTATTCTTCTTGCAAGTGCTTGTAGTTCTGGACTTAGCCATTTTTGTGCTTATAACAATTTCTTTTGGTTTATATGTTGGATTGATGGTATATTTGGTACGTTGGCTCACTTTGTTATATATAGGGTTAGGAGGATAAGATTGTACAGTTACTATGTACAATATGTGACATAGCAAGGAGTTAGAAAACCGACAAGTTGTTGCTGACTGGGTGGAGTTCAATCTGGGGGAGACCGTCCCATGTGAGTGTGGGTGACTTGTAGCTTCCAACTTATTACCATGAGACGTCCCTTTTCAATTGTCATGTCAGCCTCTTCCTTACCAAAATCATTAAACGGCACTTCTACTCTAGTGTACTACCACTCATCTTTTTCCATGCCTTCCTGACTTTCTACTTATACATCTCCTTAAGAATTTTAGCTGTTGTTTTATGGTTTTGTGAGAGGCATAGCCTAATGCTTTACGGGGAAGAATGTGGGTGGTTCCACTGAATCAACTCTATATCTTAATTACCTCATGTTTGACAAAACTTTTCTTTATTTGGGGATGTGGAGTGTGTTGTTCCACGGTGGAAAATTAAGTGACTTTGCATGTATTTAGCTACTCTATATAGTCAATTAGTTTCGGAATGGGACCTCAACTTCCTTAATGGTTGAGTGTTGTTTCACGTCGAAAAGTCAAAAAATTCACATGATCTTATAAGAAGTTGATTACTTCCCCACTATAAAGGGAACGGGTTTTTACAAATGGATTAGAGACGATATAGTAGCTCACTAGATTTCACGTTTGTTAATGAGATAATTGAGGCTAGCTTTGAAATTTTTTGTCCAAGTTGAAGTTAGAAGATGGTTAGTAGTGATGAAGGAAACTAATCTTTAGCAATAACTAATACATCTAATTTCTTCAACGTGGACAAAATTTGGAAGATTGCACTCATTTCTTACTTTAACATATGAATTTGGAAGTTAATATATGATATATCCAATCCAATCAATTCTAGCAGTCAGGATCGTGATCTACAATACTGTTCAGTTGGGTCATTTGCTCCTTATGTATTTTGATTAATGCATGACACATATGATCTTTCACTTTCCTTGCATAAAATGATAGCATCTCTGCAGATCCATGAAGGACCTGGAGGCCATACGCGTGCTTATATCGAAGCACATGGAGTACCCAGATTTTGGCACGGATTCAGCTTCCATCACACAACTTTTTTGACGTGTGAAATGCGTGTCGATATACTTTTTATTGCATTAAACCTTGGTTCTGTGGTTCTTGTTGAATTTCTTCATGCATGCATGCATTCCACCAGTTCCTCGTGTATATTAAGTAAATGTTTTCCTTTCAACGTGCCGAAGTTTTTCCATGTCCATGAAAGGCATCCTCGATCAGTTAACAGTTCAGGATTTGGCTTTTATGAGGAAGCATTTCTTATTTTCTGACTCTTATGATCTCTGTGGTGGATTCATAGAATGGAAAGGCAACTTGTCAGCCCTTGATTGTTCTAACACTGTTTTTTCATGTTGTTTTATAGTGTCAAAATATCATTTCTTTTAAAGTTTTAATTGATACTTTCTCAACTTGGTTTTCCCACATAGTTTTTGTTTCTGTTTTTTCTAAAACATTGGGAATAATATCCGGAGCATTCATGTTTAAAATAGAAGGCTAACTTGATCGATCAATGCGCCGTGGAATTATACGTTAAATTTGGCTTCCCATATAGCTTCCTTTTTTTTTTTTTTTTTTTTAATTTTTTTTTTCTCTTGATCTATTAATTTTTTTTCAAAATTTCATTCAACTTGTTAAGAATTTTATTTTCCACTTGTCATAAGGTAAAAAATTGAGTGCGCGTGTAATTAGTAGTGCCCTAGAAAATTCGAGAGATATGGTAATGAAGCTGTACTTATCCAGGGACATAATCTGTGGTCTACAAAAGATAGTGCCAAGTACTTGAACCTTTGCTCTTACTCCGTCCTTTTTGTCCTGCCATCTCAAAATATGAGTATTGTTAGGTAGATCAATTTTTTAGATTTACGAGTCATGTGATATGTCATCAATAAAAAATAAACATGTTAATTAATATATATTTAATAATTTAATTATTAACCATCATATCATATAATTTACAAATATAATTTAACTAGACGATCCGTAATATTATCCTCCAAATACATAGACAAGTGGTCAATTCTAATTCTTTAAATGATTGGGGTGTACAAAAAGGGCCAGGGCATTCTCTACGTGTGTCAAAATCAAGATGCCTCTCACAGTAGTGCAACAATTTAAATGCATCCCAAAATTTGAAGGTTATCTCAGAAACTAGCATAACCAATGCATATACCAAATTAAATAAAGAAAATATCATCTCGTAAACTAGCATATTTTGATACATAAGCTATGTCGTCATTCATGGTATGAACGATTCAACATTACAAACATCTAAATTTTCAATTCCGACAGTAGAAAGTTGATCACAGACTATTTAATATAAAAGATATACTGATTAATAGACTCGGAACCTTTTCGAATAGTCTGTAAATCAAGCTTCATCTTAAAGATACTCGTTTAAGAGATATTAGCAAATCTTTCCCGCGGATTAAGCCACATTTTCCTTGAACTAGAACTAAATCACACACCATATGGCATGTAACATCTCACATCGTCCAGGGGAGTGGATCCTGTAAGCCTTATATGTATATTCTCATCTCTACCTAGCACGAGGCCTTTTGGGAGCTCATTGGCTTAGGGTTCCATAGGAACTCCAAAGTTAAGCAAGTTCGCGCGAGAGCAATCCCAGGATGGGTGATCCATTGAGAAGTTCTCGTGTGAGTTCCCAGAAACAAAACCGTGAAGGCGTGGTCGGGGTCCAAAGTGGACAATATCGTACTACGATGGAGTCGAGCCCGAGATGTGGTGGGGGCCTAAGCTGGGATGTGACATGGCAAAGGGTGATAAAGTTGCCGTATTTCTCAATAATCATCAACCATTTTGTTTAGTGACATTACGTTATAGTCTTGAGTTTGAACCATTGTATTTATAAGTTTGGGGCATTGCATCACCCCAAAAGCCACCATTAGGTCATCTTATAAATATGGTTTTAGTGCAAGGGCCTCAAATGCTTGAATTTTGCACACGTAATTACTCACTCCCTCGTCTAGTCTTAATATGCCTTTTCAATCTCAAGGTCCACCATTTTTGTCGATGACATGTAATCAAAGAGAAAAAGCTCAGAAAGTATTGTGATAGCAAGGAAAAAGGTGAGTTTTGTGGGATCAAATCTAGCTGTCCAGCCAGATATTTTGCTATAGAAAGACCAAGTGATGTAGGTTCGATAAATAGTGACAAATCGTGCCATCAATTAATTTCAAGATTGATTCATTATTGAAAAAGGCCTTGACATAGGCTCCATGTGTTTTCTAAGCAACTAAATTAGTTAACAAGGTTGATACAGAAGGGAAAAACAAAAAGGACGGTACTACTTGAGTGAAAAACCAATCAATCAAGAGACAAACACAAAAAAACTGCTAATGTGTGTGGTTGTAAATTCATTTTTCAGCATATTCTGATAATGAAATTGATGTTACTGGCTAGAATCGACATCCAATTTATAGTATCTAGCACATTGCCGATGTTGTTGTTATCAAATATATCTGACTGATACATTTGGTAGTTGGTGTGTACTTTCCCTTGCAAAGTATTTTTGTCCAATTTTAGTGGTAGGAAAAAGTAACTTGGGACATATGAAACTTTCATTTAAAAAATTATGTTAAGGGTAATGTAACTTATAACAATTCTACAAGAAGAAAAATCCTAGCCGCCGACCTCTTGCCTGTAGTCTTGGGGTTGGCGGGAATCTTTCTTGATCTCTTCCCTTTCTTTCCCTCTATGTTTCAGTTATGGTCGCTCTCTTGCACTTTCGAGGAAAGTCTTTATGGTTGTGATCTCTCTCTCTCCCACTTTGTCCAGGAGAGTTTTCGTGGTTGTGGTTGTGGTCACGATTTTGGTGTTTGTTGTTCAACTTTTAGCAGTGATGATTGTTGTGGTTTATGCAATTAGCATATGACTACGAGGAGGACACTCGAGATTTTTGGAGGTAACTTATAGTAGAGTTTCTTTGCCAACATTTGCAAAATCATCAGAGGGCAATGCAGTCCTTCCTCATGGTGCCCTTAATTAAATTGCAAAGTTTAGTCTTCGTGATTAGAGTTTTGAGTTTAGGACCAACTGTCCGTTTTCTTTGAGGAATTGTATTCTCTTTTGATGAGTTTGCAATTATAGGGTTCAGATATTTTTGGCATGGCTTTTGCTATCAAAGGATTTTTATTTAGTGAGAGGAAATCGAACTTTGGACGTACCTAACCTAAAGGCTGCTAGTCATACAACTTGTGTGTATTATACTTATAGAATTTTCAAATACAAACTAGAAGGTTCGAATAAAACAAACAGCAAGGTCCTACCTACTCTACATATGCATGGAAAAGTGGTAAGATTTAAGCGTGCTGTCACGCTATTACAACACAATGCTAAATTGCTAATTAAGGTCTATCAGGTAGTTAGTCCTTTTTATCCCTCTGTACAGAAATGACGTAGCTTACTTATAGTTTATGGCTAATTCAGGAGTCTTAGTTCTTTCTTTCCGTTTTGTGCGGGTTTAGAGGATAAGGTTTCTACTATTATAATCCAACGACCAAGCTTTATCCGTAATTTGGCTCGCATAATCCAATATCATCCTTTAAAAATAAATAAATAAATAAAGGATCATATAACTGGCAGATGTCCAATCCCTTCAAAACCCCATCCCATGAACCCCTCGACCAGATACATATATACACATATACATATTGACATTGCGCAGCTGGTAAGATATTTATATTGCAGAATTTCTCACCATGATTGGTTAAATAAAGCGATTCAATGGTATCAGATGAACTAGTGTATTCTAGAAACTATAATTTATAAATTATGCTTAATATAACATGTAAGTTCAAGTGGTGAATTGGCTTAGTGTTAGTGGTCAGAATCTTTCTCTTTATTCATTACGTCGTACTCACTCTCTTTTTGTTCGGAAGTCCTCACACTCACTCGAACGTGGCATTTTTGTTCTATATTCCTTAACTCCATCCCCTTTTCTATAACTCCCTCTACTTCTATGCAACTTTAAGGGCACATTTGAAAACTCATCCCAATACCTCAAAAGTTAAGCGAAATAATCAAATAAAACGAACAAAAGTGCAAGGGAGGAGATATCTTGAACTTGATCCACCCTATTGTAGTTAAGAAGTTAGAATTTTTGTTTGCTTAATTTTTTTAATTGCCTTATTTGCCCTTAAATTGTATAGAAAAAATGAATAAAGCGAATGGACACACATCACACGAGAGTGAGTTGAGAGTCACTAAAAACAAAAGATAAAAAATTAGGGATGAAAAAAATATGATGCCTAAATCGAGGACCATTGCTATAATTAAGCTTCAGATATTTGAGCTTCCAAATTTCTTTTGGTCTAATAAAAAACCTTTTTACATAACGAAAACACCATGTGGCGGTCATGATTCTCTTACAATGATAGGCACTACAACAATTCAAGAGGCTAACTCATAATTTATGAATGAATGAGAAAGAACATGAGCAGCCGATCAACAATCATGACCGCCACATGCCAAGAAAGAGGCTAACTCATAATATTGTGACCGCCACATGCCAAATGAAAGATCAAGAAATGTTGTAGAACGTCATAACAGAAATAATTATCATACAGATCCAGTTGGCACACAAAGATAATCTCTTAAGTGGTTCTGAAAAAATAAATGGAAGTACCCTGCCAAAAGAAAAAAGAGATTTGATGCCGACATAAGACAGCCATCGGACAGAATAACCAAGAGTTTTAACGAAAAATCCACGGTACTATTCATTTTAATGGAAAACTACATTTTTACATTAAAAAGTCAATCCTGGTACTATTCACTTTATCCTTTATTTTGTCCTTATCATTATAACTCAAAGTTTTCAAATCTTTTTCATTAATTTTCTTAATAAACTAATCTTTTGTAAACAGAATCAAAACTATAATCGCTCACAGCAAATAGCCAACTTATGTAACCAAAAAACAAAAAAAAAAAAAAAAAAAAAAAAAAAAAAAAAAAATTAAGGAACCTTATACAAGTCATAAGCCATGCAAGGTTCACCGAACCACAATCCAGATCAATTACCACAATTCATGGGTCTCCGGCAGTCTGGTTCCTTGAAACTGGAATTCCAGTGTACCATGATATATATATACAATCCATTGATTTTATGGACTCTAATTTAATTATTTATGAATTCTTTTAGCACATGGATGGATGTAGTCAAGTTGTTTGCACAAGGAACCAAAGTGATATGTGTAACATTGCAAACTTACAACTCTATATTAGGTAACCATGCACCAGGGCCAAGAGCACATCAAATCCGATGCCAGTACGGCAGTACCGCAAACCCAAACATAAAAAAGATCCTAATAACTCTGGTTTTGGTAGACCCTACCATTCAAACTACGTGAAAATTTTTCTATTAACAAAGGTGGTAGATGTGTTTTAGTAAAGTTGTAAACACACAGAAAATGTAACATAAAGAAAGTCCCAGTAACTGCAATTCTGGGTGATCACAACCAATGGAAAGCCGCTATGCAACTGTGCACACCAATACGAAGTGAGACTTAATTCAGAGGTTAGTTTGTTATCTAGTTTTTTTATATCAGTTGAATCGGTGCCAATGCACGATATCAACTAGCATGCAGACCCTTTGATGTTTTGTTCCCAGACTGCAGCAGTGATTTTCTATTAAATACCATTGAAAGCTTGCATTCCACACGTCTGTGAACTTCAGAACCAATTACGTGAAATATAAAACCAACCGTAACCACCAAATAGAACCTAATAACCACGTCGTAGAGACGATAATAAAAAATCCAGTTGAAGTAACAAGAATCGAACAAATTACTGGAAGCGGTTGTACCATAACAAGGGATGCATATGAAAATCCTGAACCAACCGCATCCATGATGGAATGATCACAATCATGATAAATCCAAGTGAGGAAAAGTAGATAACAGATCTCCAAATCCAGTTGTTTGTCCTCACTTCACATTCGGAGAACAAATTTAAAGGCCATTGTGAAAAGAAGGCCACGCAGCAACCCCTGCATAAAATAGAATGATGGGTTTCAAGCCAGACCACTTGCAATTAATTTCATCTATTAAGAAAGCGTACCTGCATAATAATACAAATCTCACTTCATTTACTTTCCACTCAATCCGAATCCGAATAAACTCAATAAATTCGCTCAGAGGCAAATCGAAATGAACTTGGAATCTGCAGTCACAAACACAGTATAGGCAATAAATCTGTGTGCGAACCCCTTCACATAGACAAGCAATATAACTTACTTATTTCTCTTCCCTCTTTTTCTGACCGACTTCGTAACGTATGACATTTTTTTGAGAGGCACATCACGAAGGACGTGGTACCTGCAGTCAGAGACACACAATAGGCCATAAAACCATGTACGAGCCCCTTCATCTAAGATAAGATATGAACACAAATTAGGTTGGAGTTTGCCTACGCAATATCAAGCACATTTTCTTTTTTGCATGCAAAGGTCATATAATTACATGGAGCATGAAAATTGTTTGGTAGGAAGTCGTCGCTGCCTAGGCAGCTATTTCGTGTTAACCACGATGTAAATAGTCTTAGAACATCACCTGATGTATCACATCAATCACCCTTGTCCACAAGTTTTTTTATTTTTATGTTTATTTTTATTTTTATTTTTATTTTTATGTTTCGTTTTGTTTTCACACGGGACTAAATGCTATCTGTGGGCATGACAAAGTAGTACTGGCCTTTCAAGACGGATTTCGGAACGATTGATATACCGAAAGTATACATAAAACAAGGGACAATCCCATTCCATTATAGTGATAAACATAAAGATAGCCAAAGCCAAAGAGGAATCGGACTAACTTTGTCATCTCCAAGCCAGGAATGTTACTCCCTGCAAGCTTCTCAACGCTAACCTGCACGGAAGCTCAAATTTGAACAGGGACAGGGTATTATCTCCATTGAACGCATAGGAGGAAAAGAAAACGAAAAAAAACAAAACAACATAACGGATGCAGTCAAAAACTTACCGGGACAAGATCTGGTTGGCTATCCCTCAATTTCCAAGCATTTATAGTGTATTCTTTGTACTTTTCCAAAAATGACCTGAACATACATCAAAAGCATAGATGAGAAAAATAACGATCCCATTATTCCATTTCCATTGCATCGAAGCAAACGAAGACAGGTAAAGCACAAGGGAGCTGGAAACGCACGTTGCCTAGCCTTGTCCGGAATCATGTGCATAGGGGATCAAATTAGAACATAGTATCCATCATGCACACATAATGCATAAGTAGGGAGTAGGACGGACGTAAACATATCTAATATCTATATATATTAGATTCAGCTCAATTCTTACCATGCTAACCTTGTAAAATGAAGAGTTCCAATGGTTCAATGGGTCTCGGAATAACAGTAACTCCTGGAATCTTGCAGCTACGGAAAAGGTTCTCTGAAAATTTCAAACAACAAAACATGATCTTCACAAGAAGAAATTGTCTTCCAAAATAAAATTCAAACAACAAAAGATTCAGCCTTGCCAAACAAAGTGTATGTCACGTTTAGAACCCGGCAATACAAATTCCTTCCTTTGACATAGAGGCATATAAAATCCACAATTTTAATCCAATCCTAGAAGGGCCAAAACTCATTGAACTCAGGGTTGAAGAGTTAAAACATCGAAAAACTGGCACCACCACCACCACTACCACCACATATTAAAAAATGGATATTAATAATTGCGTTTTAGTAATTGCATAAAATATACAAATAACCACCCAGAAAAGTAAACAAACACATCTTGACAAAATGGAAGCAAAGTGCTCTCTAGGTTGAAAGCAATTACAAAGATGGAAGAACAAAGTCGAAAAATAGGGTTTTGGTAATTGAAAAATAAATCAATCATTTTATCTAAATAATTATAAATCCATCCATCCATCAATCGATCTATAAATTACATAGAGGTCTACATACAGACCTGTTCGGCTGTCCAGCTGATCCGGTTTTCCTTTGCCCTTGTCTTGTTCAGCGTAGGTGATGTTAAGACATCCATCATCATCCTGATTATCCTTATCGATTACATACATCAAGGTACCTGGGTGTAACAACATAGGAGGAAATTAGAGTTATTACCACAATTTGGGAACAAGATGGATGGATATCATTATGCTGATTGTCACCCTAAAACAAAAAAAATAAAAATAAAAATTGCTGCTCGGCTTACTGGCGGGAGGATCAGTGTTCTTGAAATAGAGAAACAAAGGCTTTTCCCATGACAATCCTTCTTTCAACCCGATTCGAATCCGAATAAAATCAGTAAATTCGCTCAGAGGCAAACCGCAATGGACATGGAATCTGCAGTCACAAATACAGTATAGGCGATAAATCTGTGCGAGAACCCCTTCGTCATAGACAAGCAATATAACTTGCTTGATTCTCTTCCCTCTTTCTTTCCGACTTCGTAACATATGACACACCAAAAGCAAAGCATTCGTATAAAAGGGGACAATCTTGTTCTATTCTAGAAATACAAATCAAGAAAATAAAGCAAAAGGATATCGGGAACTAACTTCTTCACGCAAATGTTAGGAATTTTACTGCTTGGATCCTTCTTCACATTCACCTGCACAGCACAAAGACTCAAATTACAACAAGGTATTTATTCATAGAGAAAATTAACACATTTGACTTTAGTCAAATTCTTACTGGTATATGATCTGGTTTTTTCTCCCTCAACAGCCAAGGATTTATCTCGCGCTCTTGGCATGACTCCCATAACCTGAACATAAATCAAAACCATAAATGTAAAATTAGCTAATCCATCAGTTCCACTGCAGAAACTACAAATCGAGAAAATTAAGCACAAGGGAATCGGCAATTAACTGCAAGTACCTATTAGGGAATAAATCCGCAACAGATTTTCCCTCGAGCGCAGCCTTCTCACGCTGAGCCTACTCCACAATCACATGCATAGCAAACTCAAATTAGAACAATGTATCCCTGGAATGTGTAGAACGTAAACATACTTGACACAACCTTAAATTCTTACCATAAGCTCCTTGTTAGAATAATCATTCCAAGTGTCTAACATACTAATGGGCTTTGATAAAATAAAAGCCCCTTTTATCCTACAAGCATAAAGTGAAGGGAACAATCTTATTCCATAGTAGCAAATACAAATCGAGACATCTAAAGCACAATGAATTGAGTTGAGAACTAACCTCTTCTTCTTGACAATCTTGCCAGGAATTAAGTCACTCGTTTCAGTGTCATACTCAAAAATACACATAAAAGGCTCAAATTAGAACATTGAATGACAAGGAAATGAACGTATCTTATTGGATGTGTCATTATTAAAAGTAGGATGGATAACAGCTCAGCTGCTGTTGGTGTTTAGCTGTTGCTTTCGGTCCTCCATCATCTATTGTTTTTTATCCATTGCTTTCGGCCCTTCTTCACTGTAAAGCTAAAGTTAGATAATAGATTAAGATTAGTGGGATTGGAGGTCATCATTATGTTAGAGGTCATCATTATGTTGGAGGTCATCATTATGTTGCTTTCGGTTCTCCCATATATGTTGCATCTGTAATGGTTTCAGATATGAAATATACATAAAAACATTCAATATGGTATCAGAGCGGGCATCATCCTGAGCCAGTTCTGTATATCGAATCTGCTGTGTTTATTTTTCAAAAACAATGGCAGATGGAAGTATCATTGCTTCTTCATCTGGAAGCGCTTCTGAAATGGATATCAATCCAAACCAACGACTCAGTTCAGTATTAATGAATGAGTTTAATTATTTGCCATGGGCAAGGGCTGTTAGTCTTGCTCTCGGTGGAAGATCCAAACTCGGTTTCATCAATGGCAGTCAACCTGCACCAGATGCTTCTTCTCCAGAATATGGAGGGTGGCTATGTAAAGATCAACTGGTCATGTCATGGTTGTTAAATTCTATGGAAAGGAATATTGCTGAAATCTTCAGCTATTCCGAGTCGTCTCTCATCCTTTGGACCACCGTGAAGGAGATGTATGGAAATCAAAACAATGCAGCTCGCATCTTTCAACTCAAGAAGGATATCTCCAACATACAGCAAGAAGGTAAAAGCTTTGTTCAACATCTTGGTTCTTTGAGAAGCATGTGGAATGAGTTAGATGTGTACAGACCTCACACAACTGATCTCTCTGTGCTCCTTAAAAGAACTGAAGAAGATAAAATTTTTCAATTATTGTCTAGCTTGAGCTCAGAATATGAGGATTTGAGAAGTCACATTCTCATGAACTCGGAGCTACCATCCTTCACTAGTATCTGTGCAACTATCCAACGTGAGGAAGTAAGGAGAAAAGTCATGAACAATGGTATAAAAACCAACGTGACAGAAGCTAGGGCTTACCTGACAAATGAAAAAAGATATAAAGGAAAAAACCCTTATTTAAAGTGCCTACATTGTGACAACATCGGGCATGTGAGAGACAAGTGCTGGATCCTACATCCAGAACTCAAACCTGACTTCATGAAGGATAAATCCGCACCAAAGACAAGTCGAGCACACCCTCGTGCCAACACTGCAACATCTTCATCTATCAACAATGTTGATACCTATCAACAGTTCACTGCAAATCCTGCCATCCTTTTAAATGAGTTCGCAGCGTATCTCCAACAAAAGAAGGGAAAAGAGGATGGATCGATTGATCATGAAGATGGAAGTACTACTGCATTGATGGGCAAATTTGCAGGTTTTTTAGCTGATGCTGATTATGTACCTCAGATAGACTTGAAAGGTATCGTAACTGCTTTCCAAACTGCTCTTAAAATAAATGAGTTACATGATTTTTGGGTTGTAGATTCTGGTGCCACAGACCATATGACTAATCAAATGTCAAAGTTACATAGATTTGAGAAACTACATAATCCTTCACATGTATATGTTGCTAATGGTGAAGGTGCTAGGATTGTAGGAAAGGGAAAAATCCACCTGATATCTGATCAAATAGAGTCTATGGCCCTATATGTCCCATCATTTCCATTTCAACTTCTCTCAGTGGGAAGAATCACAAATTCCTTAAATTGTTTGGCCATTTTTTCACCAAAAACTGTCATTTTTCAGGATTGTATAACCAAGAGGACGATTGGTGAGGGGTTTTACCTTGATGGTCTCTATTACATATCAAAAAGCTCTTCCTGTGGGTTCCATGCCAAGTCAAAGTCCATCCATACCTCCATTCAAGCTTCCACCTTGTGGCACCAACGACTAGCTCATCCATCTCAACCTATCTTATCCACCTTATTTCCTGACTTAGGCAAAGAATCAACCCACTGTGAAACTTGTCATTTGTCAAAGGCAACAAGACTACCTCTAGGGTCTTCGATGTCTAGAGTTTCTCATCTTTTTGAGCTTGTACACTCTGATATATGGGGACCAACAAATGAATCTTTTGATGGTTATAAATATTTCATAACTTTTGTTGATGATTATTCAAGAGCCACCTGGTTATATTTGTTAAAATCAAAAAATGAGGTGATGGAAGTGTTTAAGGACTTTCACAACCTTGTCAAAAATCATTTTTCTTCTAAAATCAAAACCCTAAGGTCTGATAATGGCACAGAATACATGTCCCAAGTCATGACTCAATATTTGAGCAACAATGGCATCATACATCAAACTAGCTGTGTTGGCACACCCCAACAAAATGGTGTTGCCGAGAGAAAAAACCGAGATCTCCTTGAAAAAACTAGGGCATTGATGTTACAAATGAATGTACCAAAACGTTTTTGGTCTCAAAGCGTCATGACAGCAGCTTACCTGATCAACAGATTACCTAGTAGGGTTTTGGGGTTCAAATCCCCAATGGAGATAGTCAAGAACAGAAAGATGGACTTGTCTCACCTTAAAGTCTTTGGATGCATCTGTTTTGTTCATGTTCAGTCATTACATCGAGACAAACTTGATCCTAGGGCAACTAAATGCATTTTCCTTGGCTACTCGTCCACACAAAAAGGGTATAAGTGTTATAATCCACAACTTAAGAGATTAATTGTTTCAAATGATGTTCAATTTCATGAAACTAACTCTTATTACAGTAAGTCTCTGGATAGTACAAGTCAGATGGAGATTATCTTGGACATGTTTCCACTGCCAAGGACTGAGATACTCAACAATGCGGGTGATCAAACTCACACAATGGATCTTGTGGCTCCAAATCAACCAGATTCATATGACGACAGCAACATGCCTGTAGAAGATGAAACTCTACGTAGTATTGGTCCTGAAGAACCTTCAGAAGAGTCTCTTCCTACCATACCTCGACGAAATCCAACTCGTGAGAGGCACCCACCAGCAAGACTGCAAGACTTTGTTACGTACAAGCTCAAGCACCCCTTATCCAACTACTGTTCTTATCAAAAGTTGTCACATAATTACACTGCCTATTTGAGTAATATATCTGCGCATGAAGAGCCTCAATCATTTCAAGAAGCTAACCAATCCCAAGTGTGGCAGCAAGCAATGCAGGATGAACTGCATGCACTCGATCAACATAAAACCTGGAGCATTGTGCCACTGCCCAAAGGAAAGAAGATAGTAGGCTGCAGGTGGATAAACAAGATTAAATTCAACTCGGATGGGTTTATTGAAAGACACAAGGCACGATTAGTGGCCCGTGGCTTCACTCAAACATTTGATGTGGATTACAAGGAAACCTTTGCCCTCGTTGCAAAGATGAACACAATGCGCGTACTCTTGTCTGTGGCTGTCAACAAAGGATGGCCTATGTATCAAATGGATGTAAAAAACGCCTTCTTACATGGTGGGCTTGAAGAAGACGTCTACATGAGATTACCACCGGGTCACTCTCAAAGTCATAAACAGGATGTTGTGTGTAAACTGCACAAATCAATTTATGGTCTTAAACAATCACCGAGAGCCTGGTATGCTAAGCTCAGTTCAGTCCTTATCAGTGTTGGTTTTGGAAGAAGCAATGCGGACTCCTCTTTATTTGTACGCTCAGGCACCGCTGGTACATTGGTTGTTCTTATGTATGTTGATGACTTGATCATCACCGGAGATAACCCTGAAGAAATCAAAGAACTCAAGCACTCCCTTCAGCAACGCTTTGCAATAAAAGATCTTGGTGTTCTGAGATACTTCCTTGGCATCGAAATGGCTACATCTCACAAGGGCTTCTTCCTTAACCAGCGCAAATATGTTCTGGATCTCCTTAAGGAAGCAAACATGAGTGATGCTAAACCGGTCCCTACACCTCTTGACATTAAACTTAAGGTCAGCTTAGAGGGTCAATCTCTTCCAAACATAAGTTATTATCAGCGGTTGGTTGGTAAGTTGATATACCTGACCATCACAAGGCCCGACATTACCTATGCTGTCAGTATTGTTAGCCAATTTATGCACTTTCCCACGATGAAGCACTTTAACCTAGTCAAAAGGATACTTCGGTATCTAAAAGGTTTTGTGGGACGTGGTATAATCATGAAGAAAAATGCAAGCACTCAGATTACAGGTTATTGTGATGCAGATTGGGCTGGCAATTCCATTGATCGTAAGTCTACAACGGGATTTTGCACGTTTGTGGAAGGCAACCTTGTCTCATGGAAAAGCAACAAACAAACTGTCGTTGCAAGATCCAGTGCTGAGGCAGAATATCGGGCAATGGCATCTACTGCGTGTGAACTAATCTGGCTCAAAGGTTTACTGTGTGACTTAGGTGTTTTCAATCATCAATCCATGTCCCTTTTCTGTGACAATCAGGCTGCAATGCACATTGCTTCCAACCCAGTTTTTCATGAGAGAACCAAGCACATTGAAGTCGATTGTCACTATGTTCGTACACAAGTTCAATCTCAGGTTATCCAAACGCATTTTGTAAGGAGCTCGGATCAACTTGCGGACCTATTCACAAAATCATTGGCCTCTCATCAGTTTCAGCTTCTTTTTGGCAAGCTTGGATCTATCAACCTTTTGGATCCAGCTTGAGGGGGAGTATTGGATGTGTCATTATTAAAAGTAGGATGGATAACAGCTCAGCTGCTGTTGGTGTTTAGCTGTTGCTTTCGGTCCTCCATCATCTATTGTTTTTTATCCATTGCTTTCGGCCCTTCTTCACTGTAAAGCTAAAGTTAGATAATAGATTAAGATTAGTGGGATTGGAGGTCATCATTATGTTGGAGGTCATCATTATGTTGCTTTCGGTTCTCCCATATATGTTGCATCTGTAATGGTTTCAGATATGAAATATACATAAAAACATTCAATATATCTAAACTACAATTCTTAATGATAACATATCACTGCATCTACTTAGTACCCCTTTCTCTTCTCCTCCACTACAGAG